GAGATAGAGAGATAGATAGATAGCTAAGATAGATAGATAGATAGGATAGATAGATAGATAGATAGATAGATAGATAGATAGATAGATAGATAGATAGATAGATAGATAGATAGATAGATAGATAGATAGATAGATAGATAGATAGATAGATAGATAGATAGATAGATAGATAGATAGATAGAGAGAGAGAGAGAGAGAGAGAGAGAGAGAGAGAGAGAGAGAGAGAGAGAGAGAGAGAGTGAGAGAGAGAGCTGTGCTATTTTTTCAAACATCAAACGAGTGAAGGAGAAATAAGATACGACATAAAACATTATTATCCCTTGCCTGGTCCGGACCTCAAATTATGTTGTAACCGTCGGGAGCCCAAACATATCCATGGTTTAAAAGACTTACCGGGATCTGTACATGTAGGATTCTCGTCCTTGAGGTGTTTAACCTGCAGTTCTGCCCCTCTGGGTGGTGAGCTACTTTATGATAAAGCGGTCGTGCTGAAGGATCTCTGAGATCAAATGGATAGTGCAGTAGAACAGAGATTCCATGTACTGAAATACTAATTCTTCTTTTTGGCGTTCACCAGCTGTAAACTCTGGCGGAAAGTTCTGGTTGTTCATCCACTTCTGGACTGCAGTCTTATTTCAGAACCTGAGTGTTGCGTGTGCATCCGTTTTACAGATCTGACTCATTTGCATACAGACTGCTTGTTCCTTTTCTCTTAGGCAGATGCACTCCGACGTTGAAGGAAGCTCCCAATTAGTCGACTCTTACGACATGCTTTTGGGTAGGCAGTGGGTCTATTCTTGTTTTCCTACACCAGGGCTCTAAAGCACACGGTGCAAAGACTAATTCAATAGGGGGTTTGTAGAGGTTCTGGAGGATATTCAGCATTGAATAGGAAATGTAGGTGGACTTTTACTCAGGTTGCAGCTGGTAATTTTAACATATCGACTCTTCGTTGGCTACTCATGCGAGAGACGGAGCACATGTGGCAATGTCTCGAGTGCATAGATGTCAATTCTTGACATTCTAGAGGGGACGAACTATAACTGCAACATAGCATCTCTCCTTTCTCGTTGCCATAATTAGAATTACCTTCCCTGAAGGCAGAACAAAAACATTGGGCGTGGTTTTCTGCAATAGCTTTCCACAAACAACTTTTGCGGCATTTTCTGCAGCGGCATGCGCTGTCATAGAACAGAGGTTCTCAAACTGGGTGCCACGAGCTTATGCCAGGGAAGCCGCGGCAGTAATAAATAATTTTTCAAAATTTGCTTGAGATCAGCGAAGACAGCAGTTAAAAACAGAAATACCATGAAGGAAGCAAATAAGAGTTCTGTTTGCAGGAATATCCAGAAACCAATGCTATAGGTAAGGCTGCAGTGCATTCTCAACGTACGCGTACGTTAAAAAAAAAAAAAAAACACCCTACAACAGAAACAGGAGCAGCCTTCAAGTTATTTTAGGGTACAAATGACTAAACTTCCCATAAACGTAAAGGAAATAATGAAAAATTGATCCAAAACATTTTCATTCGTCGCATTAAAGACAAGTAAACTGTAAATTATCTCTGTTTTTCTTATTTTTTTTTTTTTAAAGTATTCAAACTGCTTTCAGGGTAGATGTGCCGCTAGTTTTTGATTTTGTTGTTGGCATGACAAAGGTGCCACGGCGACAAGTTTTAGAAACGCTGTCATAGACAGACAATCTGCGTTCCATTGCAGGTCACGCTGGCCAGAGTTGTGTCCCTGGAAGAGATGACTCGAGAGATGAAGACAACATTTCTAGCGTTTCTTTCGGCAGTGTTCTTAAACGGCGTCTCTTGCCGTTTCTTTGTCTAGTTTAGTTTGTGAATGCAATAATTATAGTATATAGAGGTAACTTTTCTATCTCTATATATATTTTAATTTTACGCTGCATATTTAATCACAGATTGTCAACTCTGGTACCCATTTTCTAGAGGCTGGGTGAACCCCGGGAACCGCCCGGTTTCGAACACCGACCGTGGCTGCAGCGAGTCGCAGCTGGCGTTGAAAGCGAGTCTCCTATCGACTGCGCTATATGTAGTGAGTGCCTGTGATGGTACAGCATTCTTACGAGACGGCTAAACCATTTCATCTGCTGTTTCTCGATAAATCTTGTACAAGTTGTTCCCACCACTCCTTTGAAAGTATCATCATTGTTCTTTTTCTTCTTCTTCTTCTTCTTCTTCTTCTTCTTCTTCTTCTTCTTCTTCTTCTTCTTCTTCTTCTTCTTCTTCTTCTTCTTCTTCTTCGTCTTCGTCTTCTTCTTCGTCTTCGTCTTCTTCTTCTTCTTCTTCTTCTTCTTCTTCTTCTTCTTCTCCTCCTCCCCCCCCCCTTCTCGCCTCTTCCTCCTCGTTCACCGACTGTAAACTCAGGAGGCATTTCTGGTACCTTGTCCGCTTTCAAAGCTAGAACTTGAGGTTTGCTTTCACATCTGTTTTACAGATCTAGCTTATTTATATGCACACTGTTGGTCCCTCGTCTCTCGTGCAGATATACTTCGACTTTGGAAGAAACACTCATTGGCCAAACATCACGACGTGCTTGTTATGAGCATTTTCTCAAACGAGGCACTGGAAGCCACACAGGGGTGGGTCGCTCTGCGGTCGACCCAGCCTTCTAAGATGTGTACTTATTCATGCTTTCTTTCCTTTTGTATAAAATATGTTTACTTTCTTTTTTTACCCCCTCTAGTTTGTTTGACACTTTAATTTTAATTTACCCCAAACAAAACAACTCTCGTAGTTCCCAGGATATATCAGAGAAATGTTCTCCGTGACGTGATCTAAAATCTCTTAAATCCGTTTATCATCGTGGGTTAGTACCTATAGCCGTTGGACTCTAAACATGTCTGTCTGTATGTATGTCTAACCAGCAGGAAACGTTATCTTGTTTAGTCCAAGTATCTTTAGTGTTGTCTTTCAAAGCAATGTTTCCCCGTTGTAAATTTGAAAAAAGAAGACACAAACAATAGATTGCACAATTTATTGCCTGGTATATTTCGCTGTATCTCGATTCACTTATTTGCTTCATTTATGTAATTGTTACTGTCGTATGCACCTGACGAGATACAGCGAAATATGCCAGGCAATAAATTGTGCAATCTATTGTTTGTCTTCTTTGTTCTGTCTTTCCTTTCTCCAGTTTCACCGCCACATTTTTCTTGTACTGACACATCCCTAAATTCACCCAGTTTCGTTTCTTCCCCTTTGTCCACTACTGTCCGCCCGTGTGATATTGCCGGTCAATGACAGACGGAAGAAATAACCCACTCACTGGCGAATACAACGGCAGGAACAATCGGCACTTTTGAGGGTTGTTTTCTGAACGCCACGGGTCACTGGCTACCAGATGTGACGCCGCCAACAGAAGCATTATCAAAGGTTTCCAATATCATGTACCAGCAGGGCTAGCCTTGGGGGACATCCAGGACTGTGTGGCCTTTGAGAATAGCCAAACATTATTCTATTCTTGAGGCTGGGGTCAGGAATGTGGGTCTTTGAATACAAAAATATGAAGGCCCATGGTTTCCTGATTCATGGAAACAGAAATTGATGGAGAAGCTTTGATGTTGTTGAAATAGCATGGGAAAACTGTCCACATCCACAGGTGTTGATTTGCACTTTAAAAAAGTGAAGAAAAGAAGTAAGAGAATAAATACACCAGACACTATTAAAAAAAGGTAAAGCTGTAGGTTTGGAAGCTGCTGTCTGCAAATGATATCACTTCACTAAAGAACATGATTTGTTCAGAAATTTGCCTTTCTCGTTGACGTTGAATAAGCGTAAACTTCTTTAGGGTTGGACTTGTTTAGAAGTGGACAAAAATAGCCAGCTACCGTTTTGTAACATTCAGCAGACGATCGGTCAATCAGGTGCCTTCTCTAAAAGGAAGGATGCTGCAGTTGAATATATTTCTAACACTGTCTCTGGCCCGAGTTCTACGCTCCGAGACTGCTGTTCGCATCTTTTCCCGTCTCTTGTACTACGTCATTTCTGCTGGCTCGTCGCCTTCCGTCATCCATATTCATCAGCTCTGCTACATTCGGCTACAGTCTGCCACATTCAAATACATTCGGCTACAGTCGGCTACATTCAGCTACAGCCTGCTACATTCGGCTACAGTCCGCCACGTTCAGCTAGTTTCACTGCCTTTGTCATATTCTGCTAATCGTAAGGGACAACTGATCACTGGCACCATGAGAGCTAATAGACTGAAATGGTTGGGGTATATTGAAAGAATGTCAGATAACAGAGAAGTAAAAACTGTATACACCAGGGAGATGAATGGTCGTAGACCACGAGGCAGACCAAGAAGACGATGGAGAGATAATGTCCAGACAGACTTGCAAACACTTGGTGTCACCAACTGGAAAGAGAAGGCCACCCAGAGAGATAAATGGAGGCGGGTGATATCTGCAGCAATGAACATCAAGGGCTCGGAACTCTGAAGAAGAAGTAGCAGTGGGCCAAGACATTACTGTACCTCCAAGTTGATTTTTCTGTCCAGGAGATTTTGGTGTATGGTTTGGTGAGCACGCTGATAGATTATCTGCTGCGGCTCCTCTGGGTGCTGAGCTACTTCATGACAAAGCCTTCACTGGAACCCGGAACCTCCAGCACCCGTGGGGAAAGGGGGGGGGGGGGTTTGGAAGAGAGAGAGAGAGTTTGATTTAGAAGATATCATTTTATGATGCTACATGTTTACAGCCTTTGCCATTGTATGTTTTATTAGCTCATGTCGTACACTCAAAGGAATCCATGAATAGCCGGGAAGGCCAGCCTGGTGAACAAATACCAGATGAAGTCGGATGTGTCGGCCAACAGCCGCAACCATCGCAGCTGTGCTGTAAATAGGCACAACGCAATCACGTCACTGGAACGAACGAAAGGAAGAAGAGGACGAATTCATAAATACTGGCATTTCATGTTTAATCACCCCATACTTTGAAATCATCCTCTGTTCTGTTGTCTTCTTCCACAGGGTGGGTTTGCCCGATGCTACGAAATCCTGAATTTGAATACAAACAAGATTTATGCTGGCAAGATCATCAGTAAAACCAGAATTTCTAAACCTCATCAGAAACAGAAGGTAGGCTCTTGTATTCTTTCTTGCTTGTGTGTGTGTGTGTTTTTTTTTTAAATTTATTTTAATTTAAAAAAAAAATGGATTGCTTTTTCTATGCTTTCCGGAACCAAGATTTGACTTAAAACCCCTTTCCCCATCTTAGTATGTATGTGTTTTTGTAAGCATGAGTGTGGGTATAAGTGTGAATATATGAGTGTTTGTATTCAGTCAGCAGAGAGGGTCTGTGGAAGATCATGGCAAAATATGGCTAACCAAGGAAATTTATCATGATTATACAGCAACTGTATGATGAAATGAAGGCCAGAATTTAGGAAAATGAAGAATTACTAAACCTTTCCATGTTACAAATGATGTCAAACAAGGATGTGTGGTCGCACCTACTCTATTGAGTATCATGTTCTCATCTCAACTGTTTGACGCTTTTCGAGATCGAGATAAAGGAATTAATATTTGTTATCGCATCGATGGAAAACTGTTCAATCTTAGGCGGCTCAAAGCGAAAACCAAATTTAAATCATGTATTATTCGGAATCTTCTGTTTACTGATGACTGTGCTCCTTATACCAGTTCAGAAGCGGATCTGCAGTATAACAAGGACAGATTATTCGAGGCTTATACCAATTTTGGGCTTACCATTACACAAAGAAAACCGAAATTATGTACCAACCAGCACCCGGCATAGTATATACGGAACAAACCATTCTGTTAAATGGAAAGAAATTAAAGGTTGTGGATAGATTCTTGGTGGTACATTGAATGTCACCGTCGACGATGAGGTGAGCACCAGTATGTCTAAAGCCAGCGGCACATTTGGCAGGTTATACACAAAATTCTGGCATCGTAGTGGCACCAGTCTGCAAACCAAACTGAAGGTAAGCAGAGCTGCAGTGCTTCCAGTGCTACTGTATGCCTGTGAAACTTGGACTGTATACAGAGTAAGGCACAAAACTCAATCACTCCCATACAGTCTGTCTGAGAAAGGTACTGAAAATTAAGTGGCAAGACATGGTCCGGTACCGAGCACTGTTGTACTGGACAGGGTTGGCATTCCCAGCATCAATACCATCCTGATGTAGTCACGGATTCGACGGGTTAGCCATGTTGTTTCAAATGCCTGACCATCGGCTCCCAAAAATAATCTTCTATGGTGAGATACATGAAGGTCGACGTTCTCATGGGAGTCAGAAAAAACGCTTCAAGGACACACAAAAGGAAGGCATCATTGAAAGCCTTCAGTATAAACCCTGACACCTGGGAGGCTGCAGCACAAGACCTGACTTTATGGCACACATATCAGAGAAGGAGCAACGATCTGCGAGGCATCTAGAACAAGGGCAGATGAACAGCGAAGACAGGCCAGAAGGAACCGTCAAACAGGCACTGTGCCCTGCCCTCATTGTCCTAGACTCTTCCGGGCCGTATTGAAATTATGTCACCTCCAGACTCACTAACATTTAACGGCAGTTTCATGATGGATGAAAGTAGTTCTTATCACTTGTGATGTACGAACGAACGATGTTTGTATGCATGTGTATATGCGAGTGTGTGCCTCGGTTTGTATGTATAATTGTGTGCATATATGAGTGGATGTTTCAATGAATGTATAAGTGTGTGTGTGAGAGAGAGAGAGAGAGAGAGAGAGAGAGAGAGAGAGAGAGCTTGAGTATGTGTGTGTGTGTGAGAGAGAGAGAGCGCGCTTGAGTATGTGTATGTGTGTGTGAGTTTGAATGATGATCTATATGTATGTGGATGTAAAAGAGTGTAGTATGGTAACTTTATATTTATCATGTGATCTTTTTGTTTACATTTTCTGTGAAGAGGTGTTCAGCCTGTTAATTAAACGGAACTCATCTGTTTTATATACACACAAAAAGTCAAGTGATAAATGGGAAGTTAACCAAGGGAATCAGGTGGCTGATCTTGGCCAGATATGTGAAACGGATGTGCGCGCAACATTGAGGTTCCGGAACAAGGCTAGAGTCCTGAGATGGACGAACACCCACATCTTTCTGCTGGAGTTTACAATCGATAAACGCAAAAAAAAAAAAAAAAGAAAATTAATAAGAAGAAGAAGCAGAATTTCTAGTCTACCTGGTTTTGAACACAGCCCTGCTGAAGTCGAAGAAGCTGGCGGCGACCTATTTATGTAAATATTATGCTTGCAGTTTTCTGTTTATCTTTCTGTTTCCTTCTGCAAACACCTAGTTCGGTTGTCCTCTGGCCCACCTGCCTCCTTCCACGTCTAAACTCAGTCTTGTCTGTCGATGTTGTCATTAAATCAGGACAGTTTTCCGTCTGTGGCGTTACTGCTTGCTTAACGCGTCTGTACTGTTTGACGTCAGTACTGTGTGTTTATGTGTCTGTCGAACTGGTGTGTACCATTTGTGTGTTCTTCTTCTTCTTCTTTTTCTTCTTCTTCTTCTTCTTCTTCTTCTTCTTCTTCTTCTTCTTCTTCTTCTTCTTCTTCTTTCTTCTTCTTCCTTCTTCTTCTTCTTCCTTCTTCTTCTTCTTCCTTCTTCTTCTTCTTCCCTCTTCTTCTTCTTCTTCTTCTTCTTCTTCTTCTTCTTCTTCTTCTTCTTCCTTCTTCCTTCTTCTTCATTCTTCTTCCTTCTTCTCCTCCTATTTCTTCTTCTTCTTCTTCTTCTTCTTCTTCTTCTTCTTCTTCTTCTTCTTCTTCTTCTTCTTCTTCTTCTTCTTCTTCTTCTTCTTCTTACCCCTGAAATACATCTTAGCGTCACGTAGGGAGAGATCTCTGGAAAGGGCCCTTGTGTTCGCTTCGTTGAAAGCACTTTTCATTGTCCCCGATATTTCCGCGGACCATCGTCTGCATGGTCGACCTTTGGCTCTGTGTGTGCTGTATCTGTCTGTATAGCATTGCTCTCAGGGGTGCCCTGTCTGTTGCTAGTCCATAAATGTAAGACGGACCTGCGTGCCCAATCTGTGACCCTTTGAAAATAAAGTTTTTTTTTTTCGTTAGTCTTATCACCTGGCCGAATTATGTTATCTTTATAACACTATCGTCTGGAAAGACGGAACGGTACCAGCAACATCCTTAGAGTACTCTTTTCCCTCAACGCGCCTGCTACTATGGTCGTTGCTTGCTCTGACACCCGCGAATCACGCCAGTGACCTTGCTACGGCAAATCAAGGCCTCTCCTGGCACTTTTGCACGTGTAAATAGCTTCCGATAAAAACAACACGATACCGTTTTCATAACACTTCAGCAGCAGAGAATTTGACATGGGATTTTTGGAGACGAAACACTTAAAAAAATAAAGGTTGTCATGCTTGAAGAAGCAGACTCGCATGTGTTTGTCCTGCTCTTGACTTCCTGCAAGTAGGGTCATTAAACCAGTTGAGAATTGTTATGAACTGTTTTACGAATTCAAATTAAAAAATAATAACTATATTACAGGGCGCCGGAACCAGGTGTGTAGGATACCCCGCGCCTCCTTTCAGTTTTTAAAAGGAAAAAACTCAGCCCGACTTGAATACGTGTAAGCGGGCTGTTAGTTCCACGTTAGTCTCCCCAAATAGAGTAGGTCACTTTTCATTAACAAGTTTGTTGGGCTGGTCGACTTTCCTGAAGGTATCCCCCGCTGTGTTGTTTGGTTTCTGCGATGTCTCGCATTTACGTTTTCATTTCGAGAAAAAGAATGCCTGTGACATAGGTTGCAGCCCTCTCTAGAGAGGTTGTGTTAGACCCAGTTTCTCCGTGTTTTTAGAGTGTTAAAAGTGCTGGCGTGCTGAGATATACAACACGCGATATCAACGGCATTGCGGAACACAACAGTAACCGTGTGCGAAGTTCACGGGGCTCAGGGACTACCAATCAGAAGTCAGCTTGTGTGTCTATGGGCGAGGTCTGGGTAGACTAACGTCAAACTAACCAAGTCGGCTAATCCCGATTCCCCGCCCACATTTAATATTTTTTCTAATATATTTCTTAGCTGTAAACTCTGGCGGAAAGTTCTTATTTTCGTCCACTTCTGGACTGCAGTTCTGTTTCCGAACCTGAGTTTGCGTGTGCATCTGTTTGACAGATCTGACTCGTTTGTTTGCAGACTGTTGGTTCTTTGCCTCTCAGGCAGGTGCACTCCGCTTTGAAGGAAGCTCCCAATTAGTCGACTCTTACAACATGCGTTTGGGTAGGCAGTGGGTCTATTCTTGTTTCCCTTATAATAAGGCACGGAGAACTCAACGCATTATTTTATTATTATTATTATTATTATTATAACTTTGCACCCACACATTGCTTTGGTATAGCGGTTAGACGCTCACCTCGGATAGAAAGGTCGTGGGTTTGGGTCCTGACGAAGCCTGACGTTTTTCTTTTCTTGCAGAAATGACATTGGGTACCTGGTCCACCCAGCCTTAAGTGGGTACCAGGTACAGTCCTGGGAAGTAAAGGCTGCTGGTGTGAATCTGACGACATCACCCACCAATAGGAAAAGGGTCCTTTATTTACTTACAAACATTGCTTAGCGCCAACCCTTCCCCAACCCCTCGAAAATATATGAGGGGATTGAGGCCTCTTCTCATTGTTTCTTTGTATGGGCGCCCCTGTAACACTGTTTAATCTAAAAGCAACTGAAGAAACTGGTACGTTTCTTTGTATTGGCGACCCTGTAACACTATTAAAAAAAAAAAAAAAGAGCAATTGAAGAAACTGGTACGTTTCTTTGAAGACGTGGCCAAAAACAGTTTCACTGAATATGAAAGGACGGGAGGATGCACCGGTTACCGGTCTCATAACTGAACTAGGTTAAAATAAAAACGTTTAGCATTGGTTGGAATCATTAGTGCGTGGTATTTATCTGAATTGCTTGGCATAGGATCGTTGGCGGAAGAGAGACACAGAAATACGAGTTGTTCCATAATTTATGTTTGATTCAGATAACTCTGTATATGAAATCTGACCCTGCTTCCTGTTGGAGTGATCTTTTGAAAGTGATATTTGTCCTTCAGGTTTGCAGCCTGTAAGATTGACACCCCTAGCTCTCCGTATTGGTTCTTGGGTTCCGTGTGGGTTCTTGGGTTCCGTGTGGGTTCTTGGGTTCCGTGTGGGTTCTTGGGTTCCGTGTGGGTTCTTGGGTTCCGTGTGGGTTCCGATGCTCTATTTTGCGAGCAGGTGAACGCGAAGAAAAAGAAGAAGTAGAAAGAAGAAGAATAAAAAGAAGAAGAAGAAGAAGAAGTAGAATGATAGGCTATACCTATATTGTATATACCCGTCGGCACTTGGGAGCTGATATGGTCAACATCTGATAGCCAAGGTAATGTTTGAAACATGTTGGGCTCCGTTAGGACCACAACCCATGACCTTCAGATCTGCAGGTGGGCGCCTGGCTGCTGCACCACGACAGCTCCCAATGCTTGCCAATGAGGAACAGTTTTTCTTCCCGTTTCTTTGTTAGTGATCTTGTCTGGTCAAAATGTTGACACGGTTTTCTGTTTATTTTGAAAATATATCAAGGCAGAACTTGTGGCCAAGAGAAACACAAATTCAAGCCAGTCTTTAAGGGTCACTGAGTCTCTTTCAAGCAAATGAAAGAAAAAGAAGAATTTTAAAAATAGTTATAGTGTTTTTTTTTAAAAATCTTAGACACAGAGCAGCAGTCACTGCTGTATTATTCCTGAGGTTAATTACCATCCTACTGTCATACTGCTGTATTATTCCTGAGGTTAATTACCATCCTACTGTCATACTACTGTATTCCTGAGGTTAATTACCATCCTACTGTCATACTACTGTATTCCTGAGGTTAATTACCATCCTACTGTCATACTACTGTATTCCTGAGGTTAATTACCATCCTACTGTCATACTACTGTATTCCTGAGGTTAATTACCACCCTACTGTCATACTACTGTATTCCTGAGGTTAATTACCATCCTACTGTCATACTACTGTATTCCTGAGGTTAATTACCATCCTACTGTCATACTTCTGTATTCCTGAGGTTAATGACCATCCTACTGTCATACTACTGTATTCCTGAGGTTAATTACCATCCTACTGTCATACTACTGTATTCCTGAGGTTAATGACCATCCTACTGTAATACTGCTGTTTTATTCCTGAGGTTAGTTACCATTATACTGCTATACTGCTGTATTATTCCTGAGGCTAATGACCATCCTACTGTAATACTGCTGTTTTATTCCTGAGGTTAGTTACCATTATACTGCTATACTGCTGTATTATTCCTGAGGCTAATCACAATCATACTGTTATACTGCTGTTTTATTCCTGAGGTTAATTAGCATCATACTTTCATACTGCTGTATTATTCTTGAGGCTAGTTACCATCATATTGTCATACTGCTGTATTATTCCTGAGGCTAATCACAATCATACTGTTATACTGCTGTATTATTCCTGAGGTTAATTAGCATCATACTTTCATACTGCTGTATTATTCTTGAGGCTAGTTACCATCATATTGTCATACTGCTGTATTATTCCTGAGGTTAATTACCATCCTACTGTCATACTGCTGTATTATTCCTGAGGTTAATGACCATCATACTGTCATACTGCTGTATTATTCCTGAGGTTAATTACCATCATACTGTCATACTGCTGTATTATTCCTGAGGTTAATTACCATTCCACTGTCATACTGCTGTATTATTCCTGAGGTTAATTACCATCCTACTGTCATACTGCTGTATTATTCCTGAGGTTAATTACCATCCTACTGTCATACTGCTGTATTATTCCTGAGGTTAGTTACCATCCTACTGTCATACTGCTGTATTATTCCTGAGGTTAATTACCATCATACTGTCATACTGCTGTATTATTCCTGAGGTTAATTACCATCCTACTGTCATACTGCTGTATTATTCCTGAGGTTAATGACCATCATACTGTCATACTGCTGTATTATTCCTGAGGTTAATTACCATCCTACTGTCATACTGCTGTATTATTCCTGAGGTTAATGACCATCATACTGTCATACTGCTGTATTATTCCTGAGGTTAATTACCATCATACTGTCATACTGCTGTAATATTCCTGAGGTTAATTACCATCCTACTGTCATACTGCTGTATTATTCCTGAGGCTAGTTACCATCATACTGTCATACTGCTGTATTATTCCTGAGGTTAATTACCATCCTACTGTCATACTGCTGTATTATTCCTGAGGTTAATTACCATCCTACTGTCATACTGCTGTATTATTCCTGAGGTTAATTACCATCCTACTGTCATACTGCTGTATTATTCCTGAGGTTAATGACCATCCTACTGTCATACTACTGTATTCCTGAGGTTAATGACCATCCTACTGTCATACTACTGTATTCCTGAGGTTAATTACCATCCTACTGTCATACTACTGTATTCCTGAGGTTAATGACCATCCTACTGTTATACTGCTGTTTTATTCCTGAGGTTAGTTACCATTATACTGCTATACTGCTGTATTATTCCTGAGGCTAATCACAATCATACTGTTATACTGCTGTTTTATTCCTGAGGTTAATTAGCATCATACTTTCATACTGCTGTATTATTCTTGAGGCTAGTTACCATCATATTGTCATACTGCTGTATTATTCCTGAGGCTAATCACAATCATACTGTTATACTGCTGTTTTATTGCTGAGGTTAATTAGCATCATACTTTCATGCTGCTGTATTATTCTTGAGGCTAGTTACCATCATATTGTCATACTGCTGTATTATTCCTGAGGTTAATTACCATCCTACTGTCATACTGCTGTATTATTCCTGAGGTTAATTACCATCCTAATGTCATACTGCTGTATTATTCCTGAGGTTAATTACCATCCTACTGTCATACTGCTGTATTTTATCCTGAGGTTAATTACCATCCTACTGTCATACTGCTGTATTATTCCTGAGGTTAATTACCATCATACTGTCATACTGCTGTATTATTCCTGAGGTTAATTACCATCACACTGTCATACTGCTGTATTATTCCTGAGGTTAATTACCATCCTACTGTCATACTGCTGTATTATTCCTGAGGGTAATTACCATCCTACTGTCATACTGCTGTATTATTCCTGAGGTTAATTACCATCCTACTGTCATACTGCTGTATTATTCCTGAGGTTAGTTACCATCCTACTGTCATACTGCTGTATTATTCCTGAGGTTAATTACCATCATACTGTCATACTGCTGTATTATTCCTGAGGTTAATTACCATCCTACTGTCATACTGCTGTATTATTCCTGAGGTTAATGACCATCATACTGTCATACTGCTGTATTATTCCTGAGGTTAATTACCATCCTAAAGTCATACTGCTGTATTATTCCTGAGGTTAATGACCATCATACTGTCATACTGCTGTATTATTCCTGAGGTTAATTACCATCATACTGTCATACTGCTGTAATATTCCTGAGGTTAATTACCATCCTACTGTCATACTGCTGTATTATTCCTGAGGCTAGTTACCATCATACTGTCATACTGCTGTATTATTCCTGAGGTTAATTACCATCCTACTGTCATACTGCTGTATTATTCCTGAGGTTTATTACCATCCTACTGTCATACTGCTGTATTATTCCTGAGGTTAATTACCATCCTACTGTCATACTGCTGTATTATTCCTGAGGTTAATTACCATCCTACTGTCATACTGCTGTATTATTCCTGAGGTTAATTACCATCCTACTGTCATACTGCTGTATTATTCCTGAGGTTAATTACCATCCTACTGTCATACTGCTGTATTATTCCTGAGGTTAATTACCATCCTACTGTCATACTGCTGTATTATTCCTGAGGTTAATTACCATCCTACTGTCATACTTCTGTATTATTCCTGAGGTTAATGACCGTCATACTGCTGTATTATTCCTGAGGCTAATCACCATCAAACTGTCATACTGCTGTATTATTCCTGAGGTTAATCACCGTCATACTGCTGTATTATTCCTGAGGTTAATCACCGTCATACTGCTGTATTATTCCTGAGGTTAATCACCATCATACTGCTGTATTATTCCTGAGGCTAATCACCATCATACTGTCATACTGTCCTATTATTCCTGAGGCTAATCACCATCATACTGTTATACCGCTGTATTATTCCTGAGGTTAATCACCATCATACTGTTATACCGCTGTATTATTCCTGAGGCTAATCACCATCATACTGTCATGCCGCTGTATTATTCCTGAGGCTAATCACCATCATACTGTCATGCCGCTGTATTATTCCTGAGGTTAATCACCATCATACTGTCATGCCGCTGTATTATTTCTGAGGTTAATCACCATCATACTGTTATACCGCTGTATTATTCCTGAGGTTAATCACCATCATACTGTTATACCGCTGTATTATTCCTGAGGCTAATCACCATCATACTGTTATACCGCTGTATTATTCCTGAGGCTAATCACCATCATACTGTCATGCCGCTGTATTATTCCTGAGGTTAATAACCATCATACTGATATGCTACTGTATATTTATATCCTCAGATTCTCCGCGAGGTGCAGCTGCAGAAAAACCTCAGGCACAAACATGTGGTGGAGTTCAATAGTTACTTTGAGGATGACAGTAATGTTTACATTATTCTGGAAAACTGCAGCAGAAAAGTAAGTAAAAGAGTAATGTTTACATTATTCTGGAAAACTGCAGCAGAAAAGTAAGTAAAAGAGTAATGTTTACATTATTCTGGAAAACTGCAGCAGAAAAGTAAGTAAAAGAGTAATGTTTACATTATTCTGGAAAACTGCAGCAGAAAAGTAAGTAAAAGAGTAATGTTTACATTATTCTGGAAAACTGCAGCAGAAAAGTAAGTAAAAGAGTAATGTTTACATTATTCTGGAAAACTGCAGCAGAAAAGTAAGTAAAAGAGTAATGTTTACATTATTCTGGAAAACTGCAGCAGAAAAGTAAGTAAAAGAGTAATGTTTACACTTTTGTATTTGTATGTGTGGGACGGGACAGCTGCAGAAAAAAAGTGTTAATATAAAAATAATGTTAATACATTTTTTGGACAACTGCAGAAAAGATTGTTTACACATTTGGGGGGGGGGGGGGGGGGGGGCAACTGCAGTAGAACAGTTATTATAACAATAATGTTTACACCCTTTTTTGTTGTTTTTTTGGACAATTGCAGAAAAGTAAGTAAAACAGTAATATTTGCACATTTTTGTGTGTGTTGGAATTTTAGTTTTAGAAATTACATTAGAGGTAAGAGGAAATACTAATTAGCATAAATAATAGGCAGTAGACAAGCTTGCTGAGATTCCCCCAGCTACTCTCTCTCTCTCGCTCTCTCGCTCTCTCTCTCTCTCTCTCTCTCTCTCTCTCTCTCTCTCTCTCTCTCTCTCTCTCTCTCTCTCTCTCTCTCTCTCTTGCTCTCTCTCTCTCGCTTGCTTTTGCGCTCTCTCTCGCTCTTGCTCTCTCTCTCTCGCTCTCTCTTTTCCTCTCTCCCTTCCTCTCTCCCTCCCTCTCTCCCTTCCACCCATGCATGCATGCATGCACACACACACACACACAAAATTTCATTTCTGTTTTGAGTGTGTTTTTTGTGTGTGTGTGAGGCCAATGAAAATGTCAGCCATTGACCTGAGCAAACTTTCTCATACCTGGCCATATTTTTATTCTTGGGAAATAACAGTGACACTTCAGACATGGAACTTATTTCTCATGGGCATGATAAGGTGGTGTTAGAGCATTTAAACCTTGTTCTCTCACTATTCTTTTACCAGGTCAGCCCTTATTTATTGACTTTGTATTGTATGGACTGATTAAAAGAACATTTGTTGACTCTTTGAGTCCCAGAAGGTTTTGCATACATTTTCATAGGGCGCAATAACCACTACGAACAATCGCAAGTGTATAAATGTTATTAGGCAAAGTGCACAGTGACAGGAAGCAACTACACAGGAAGCCAGATCTTATTACCATTCTCTGACCAAATGTGAACAGTAAAAGAAGACAATATATGATTGTTGAAATTCAGTGAAAATAGCCACTTCATGCGTAGGACTCAAAAAGTTAAAAAAAAATGGGTTTAAGTGTGGTAAAGGGGTAATACTAACAGTGAGAAAACACAAGAGTATAGGTTCTCTTTTGCAAAATGAATATTGTCTGAAGGGCTGTTTTCCTGCAAATAGAGCATTGGGTACATGATGTTGGACCAGTGGTTTTCAACCTATTTCAGGAGGTGTTTTCCTTGAATATATGGCTCCCTGTGTGGGTTCCGAGACCTCATTGTGGGGAAAACAAGAATATACCCATGCCCCCCAACAAGCATGTTGTAAGAGTCAACTAATTGGGGGTTTCCTTCGAAGCTGGAATGCATTTGCCTGAAAGACAAGGAACCAACAGTCTGCATACAAATAAGTCAGATCTTTAAAATTGATGTGCACACACCACTCGGGTTCTGGAACAAGTCTAAAGTCCAGACGTGGATGAACAACCAGAACTTGCTGCTGGAGTTTACAGCCGGTGAAGGCAAAGAAGAGAGAAGAAGAATACCTGGCAAGATCTCCCACCCCACCCCTTTAAAATCTGATTATAAAGAAGACAGAAAGAAAAATCGAAAGATCAATTACTTCTTACTTTCCTATTTACTTAGTCGCTCCTCTTCTACCTGTGGGTGTAGATGTTTGCCAGACAGATTGTCAGACTTCTCTGTCAGCAGTTTTTGTGTGTGGCTGTGTTCCGTTTGAATCCCCTGTCAGTCAGGGACTGTCAGATGTTGTCTTCCTAATGAACCCTGTGTAGTCTTGGTGGTCTGGTTCCGTGATTCTCGGCCTCCCGTGCCTGCCAGGGTGATTGATTCTCTCCAATTCTGCGTACATCATAACTGTGACTGATCTGTTCCATACAAGTTTGTGAGACCTGGGTTTCAAGATCTTGACGTATTCTCTGATTGCAACTTGGTCCACCTTTCTCAGATACCTCATTTCTGAGGCCTGAAGCTGGCTTATGTGAGCTGTTTTCAGTGCCCATGTCTCCCACCCAAAGGTCAAGACTGGCATATAGGTAGAGCGGTGTACAGCCATTCCAAGCTCTATTAACAGTATTAACAAGAACGTGGAGAAAAACATCCATATAAATCAAAGTGTCAAATAACATTTAGAAACAATCACCAGACGAAGAGAACAGACTAATTGCCTTGGCTCCCTAACATAACATCATCATTTTCATCATCTGCCTTGCCGACTGGCATGGGCGATCATGCCTCTACACAGTCTGCGATCTGCAAGTGCGAGTGTCAATCAGATCATGTGTTGACACCCCTCCATGTGATGACAAAAGCTGTCAAGAATCTCTCGCATTGTCTTCCTCTTTTTTTTCCCCGTATATTTTTCCAGTGTCACAATATGTTCCAGTTTCCTTCTTCCGATAATATGACTGAAAAGTGATGACTGTTTCTTTCTGATGTCCTCACGTTTTTCAAAACATCTAGATTGCTCTTTTCAGCTGTCCAAGAAATTGTAAGAACTCTTCTGTAAAACCACATTTCATAACACACATGTCATAAAAGGTGAATAGCTAGGAGTTTGTTGAAATCGGATTGTTAGGCTGTAGAGTGCAGATATCGCAGCCTAGATGTAAACCTCAACACATTATTTATATGGCCTTTTTTTAAGAACGCAGAAATAGATGAAGAATTATAAAATTCCACTTCGTAAATTCAAACCCAAAACCTTAGGCAAGCTTCAAGTCACTGCACTACCTCAGCTACTAGCCTATCTTCTCTTATTGACGCAATGTGTGGGGCCATGTCCTCTGTGGGGGGGGGGGGGGGGGGTATTGGTGGTGGGGTAGGAGAGAATAGAACTACAGCCCCATCACAAGCATGTCATAAGAGACAGCTAATAAGTATTTTGCTGAATTCAGATTTGTCAGGCCAAAAGGCATAGATATTGTAGTTTAGCTGTAAACCACAACACAGTATGCCAATCAATGCCTTTCAAGAGCAGAAAGAGAAGAGAAGAAAGACACAACTAACCACTTTGACTGTGATCCCCAAAGGCTGGCGATCATCTCCTAAGGCTGGTGGTATTCATCTCCCTAGGCTGGTGTTCAAACAGCAGGACAGTTTTGTGTCAGGGTAACCTGTTAAATAAATAAGGAAATAGGCTAAGTTCTTGTGCCTGTGTAGGTGTCTTTATTTGTTTCGTTTTGTTTTAGTCTGTTCTCTTTTTATAAATTCCTTCTTTCATTGTATCCACTTATAAATTTTAATAGTAGTATGTAGTTTCAGTATTAATATGTAGTTACTCAACACATTAACTCATAAATAAAAACAAAAATGAAAGATTTTGGCCTTGTCACATTCACATGACATTGTCACAGTTGTGTAGCATTGTCACACGTAGATGGCATTGCCATTCTCACATGCTGTTGTCACACTGGTATAGCATTATCACACTTAGATTAAATTGTCACACTTACATGACAAGGTTGATCACTTGCTTAGAATAGTCACATTGTCACAGCTGTTTGTCATTGTCACACTTACATGACATTGTCACATTTACGTAGCACTTTCACACTTGCACTACAATGCCAGAGTTTTACACTTCATTATCTATTTGTTACATGGCCATTAGCAAAAAGAGTCAAAAGTGAAAGATCTTGGCTACAGTTTTACACACACTGTAACTGGTTTTTCCCTGCTTTATGTTTGTGATTCAAGCAACTTTATATCTGAAATCTGACTCAGCATTCTGGAGTCATCACATCACAGCATCAGGGCAGGAAGAGATCTCTGGAAGGGACCCTTCTGTTTGCCTCGTGTATGGTACTTTTCTGTGTCTCTGATATTTCTGCGGTCCATATTCTGTGTGGTTGACTCTGGATCTGTTACCGTTGAATCTGTATAACATTGCTGTCTGTGGGGCCCTGTCTTATGCCAGTCTTGTTACATGGTCAAACCATTTGATTTGTCTACCTAAAAAGTTCAGTATTGGTTCTGTGCCGACTCTCCTTCTGTTATCATCGTTACTAAGTTGATCTTCCCTCGTTACACTTAGCATAGTATGTAAACATTTAATTTCTGTCATGACTATTTTCCTTCTATTTTTAAGACAGAATCTGTTAAAGTGATCTTTTAAAAGTGATATTTTTCCTCCTCCATAATTGCAGTCTGTAAGACTGACACCCAGATCCCATTTTGGAGAGCAAAGAATAACTTTCTACTGGAGCTTACAGCTAGTTGACGCTGACAGGAAGTGCTCCTTCAGTTTGTTGTGATTACTACATAACTGACTATTACAAATATTAATTATTGAATGTCGAATTAAGAATCAACATCACTGCACTCAGGACACTCCCATGAGTGCTTAGTCCTTATCTTCAGCAGCAAATGAAGAGTTCCAATAACCGTCTGATTGTATATCCGTCTTATCCTTCCCGTGAATGCTGAGCGTCGATAAGTCCTCGCAGTGCCATTTTCCTTAGACAGTAATGATATTTCTGCACCTCTGCACTATTTACTCGCTCCCAAAGGGCCCTCACAATAGTCATTATTGAAACAGATTAAAACTCCTATATATCTCAATTATAAGCCACATGGTTTGAACAGATTATCATTGTTCAAATTACTACTACTGTTACCGTAATCATTGTCCATTTATGTTGTATGCTGATGGAGGCTTTCTGGCAGCAATATTCATTGTGTCAGTTATGAATGTGATTTATTGAACAGCAGATTGATGTCACCAACTGGAAAGAGAAGACCAACCAGAGAGATGAATGGAGGCGGGTGATATCTGCAGCAATGAACCTCAAAGGCTCGGAATGCTGAAGAAGAAGAAGGAGAAGAAGAAGAAGAAGAAGAAGAAGAAGAAGAAGAAGAAGAAGGAGAAGAAGAAGAAGATTAGTTTTGCTTCTTATTTTATTGATTAAAAAAAGTTTTGATTATCGGAATGTTTCCTTTGCCATCAACAGTCCCTGGTGCATGTCCTGAAACACAGGAAGTGTTTGATGGAACCTGAAGTGAGATACTACCTCCGCCAGCTAGTAGATGGTGTGGATTACATCCACAAGAACCAAATCATCCACCGTGACCTGAAGCTGGGGAACATGCTGCTGAACAGTGACATGGAGCTCAAACTGGCAGACTTCGGGCTGGCCACCAGAGTGGACTATGTTGGTGAAAAGAAAATGTAAGGATTTGTTAGTTTTGTGTTGAATAAATATCACTGTCATCATCAGCTGCATCTTTGTCATCATAATCATTATCATCAAATGACCTTGGCTCCCAGGTCCACCCAGCCTTGAGTGGGTACTGGGTGCAGTCCTGGGAAGTAAAGGCGGCTGGTGTGATGCTGACCACATGAACGATCTTGTGCCGATTGGTCTATAAAATATAGGTCTAGCCCTATATTCCCTATACCCTTAAAAGCGTGGAAAAGGGTCCTTTACTTTTATTTTTACATTATCATCACCACCAAACAACCATTATCCTACCACCATCACCACCGCTGCCACCACCATCATCATGTTATTGTGACTGAGCCATTACAGAATATTGCGCTCATCATGGCACCCTGGAGCACCTTTTAGTCCAGGTGGCAAGCCATGCATGTAGCACAAGGCTTTCAACTAAGTTTATTTAGGGGCCACAATTTTGAAAATAAGGATCGTCGCGGGCCAGAAGCCCAAGGCCAGCATAGAAAGATCATTGATACAATACAGTTGGCAGTGATCTGTGGGCCACTTGCTAAGCCTCAGTTGGCCAGATTTGATCCTTGGGCCGCTGGTTGAATAGCTTTGATGTAACGGCTGTAATCATTGCTTACACTTTCCATTCCAAAATAACAATGCATTATTTTACTATTTATTATGGCTCTTTACTATGTATTACAAATGTGCTACTTGGTTTACATCCTGAGCATAACAAGTTTCTGCCTACTTTGCCCCGTTAAATGCCCATGTCGGACAGTTAGTTCAGCATTTCTGACTCCTTTGTCTCTGTCTCTGGTATGCAATGGCCAGTCTGTGGCTCTTTATCCAGCAAAGGTGCAATAAAGCCAATGAAGTTTTAGGCCAAATAGCACCAATTCTGAAATGCAAGCATGTGAAGATGAACACTGAAAGAAAACTGTTCACCACAGAATTCTTACCAACACTATGCTATCAGTGTCACACATGGACACTTTGTCTTCAGATGACAGAAGGAAAAATAGTCACGACAGAAATGAAAATGTTTACCTGCTAGGCTAGGTGTAACGAGGAAAGATTGACTTAGATATGGAGGAGAGTCGGCACAGAATCAGTACTGAACTTTATAGATAGATAACAGATCAAATGGTTTGGCCATGTTACAAGATTGTCATCACACAGAGCACCACATTGAGCAATGTTATACAGATACAGCGGAAACAGAACCAGAGGTCGACCACACAGAAAATTGACTGCGGAAAAGTACTTTGTACGAAGCAAACAGAAGGGCCTGTTGCAGATATCTCTTCCTGCCCTGATGCGGCAAGTCATTCCACGAGTAGAGAAAAGAAGTCTGTGGCTCTTTCATTTTCTTTCATCTTTTCGATCATGATGAGTACAACCAAGATAGTTTCTTGATGCAGGACTTCTGAACACTGTCCACCCATTCTAGATGGAGTTTTTAGCTTGATACAAACCAAATTGCTATCATTACTGTTAAAAATGTCATAATTTTATTGATACATTTTGCCAACAGGACTGTTTGTGGAACACCAAACTACATTGCCCCTGAAGTGTTACAAAAAAAGGGTCACAGTTTTGAAGCTGATCTCTGGGCCATTGGTTGTATAACGTAAGCATCTTTGCATTTGATCTCTTTATTGGGATGTAGATGTGTAATCCTTTTTGTTCATGGAAGATCATCCTCATTATCATAATAATAATCCTTTTCCTTTTCCAAATGTCGATGTCATCACAGCATGGCAGAAAGTCACCTGCTCCTATGATAGCTTCCAATTCCAGTTGTCCAACAAAAATTTCAAATTTGATCCTTTTTCAGCTGCCCGGAGGCCTGCTATATGGAGGAAGGTTCCTTGGATATCTTATTTGGTTTCCTTTTATTTGTGGTGTGTAGTCACACCTGATATATCCCGATTCTTTGCTTCCATGATAACTTGTGGCCTCGTGACCTTTTATGTTCAATGTATCCTTGATATCCCAGATCCGCTGTTCTGTTGGTCGTCTTCTTCACGTTCACCAGCTGTAAACTCCAGCGGAAAGTTCTGGTTGTTCGTTCATTTCTGGACTGCAGTCTTGTTCCAGAACCTAAGCATTGCACGTGCATCCATTTGACAGATCTGACTAATTTGTATGCAGACTCTTGGTGCCTTGCCTCTCAGGCAGATGCACTGTGACTTCGAAGGAAGCTCCCAATTAGTCGACTCTTACGACATGCTTTTGGGTAGGCAGTGGGTCTATTCTTGTTTTCCCTATAATAGGACCCCGGGACCCTCACGGGGAGTTCTATTGGTCAAACCCTGCCTTGTTTTCCAGGAACCAAACCCTCCATTATTGTTGTGTCCAAACATACTTTGAGAACTCACTGGATTTCATGTCCTCACAATGACAGGGGTGTCCTTCTCATGCCGGTTCTGGGGCCGCAGTGGGGGGTGTAAGACTGCTCACTGTGTCATCAAAAGTGACAAATTGGGGGTCTGCTGAAAATGGATATGTTGGGCTGAAAATGGATATGTTGGGCTGAAAATGGATATGTTGGGCTGAAAATGGATATGTTGGGCTGAAAATGGATATGTTGGGCTGAAAATGGATATGTTGGGCTGAAAATGGATATGTTGGGCTGAAAATGGATATGTTGGGCTGAAAATGGATATGTTGGGCTGAAAATGGATATGTTGGGCTGAAAATGGATATGTTGGGCTGAAAATGGATATGTTGGGCTGAAAATGGATATGTTGGGCTGAAAATGGATATGTTGGGCTGAAAATGGATATGTTGGGCTGAAAATGGATATGTTGGGCTGAAAATGGATATGTTGGGCTGAAAAAAAAAAAACAACAGATTTTGCAGCCGAGCTGTAAAGCAGAACATGATAAGTCGACCACATTTTTTAGGCTGAAAGCGGAAGAAAGAGAATCTTTAGTGAATGGCAAATGTTAGATAATTTTGGTAATTTACTATATATGAGGCATAACACACCATCTTGGTAATTTATTTTAATATTATATGTATATGTATAAAAAAAATTACCAGTATAGCGTTATGCCTCATGTGTGTGTGTGTGTGTGTGTGTGTGTGTGTGTGCGTGCGTGCGTGCGTGCGTGCGTGGGTGGGTGTCTGTCTGTCTGTGTCTGTCTGTGTGTCTGTCTGTGTGTCTGTCTGTGTGTCTGTCTGTGTGTCTGTCTGTGTGTCTGTCTGTGTGTCTGTCTGTGTGTGTGTCTGTGTGTCTGTCTGTCTGTGTGTCTGTCTGTGTGTCTGTCTGTGTGTCTGTCTGTGTGTCTGTCTGTGTGTCTGTCTGTGTGTCTGTGTGTCTGTGTGTCTGTCTGTGTGTCTGTCTGTGTGTCTGTCTGTGTGTCTGTCTGTGTGTCTGTGTGTCTGTGTGTCTGTCTGTCTGTCTGTCTGTCTGTCTGTCTGTCTGTCTGTCTGTCTGGAGGAGATTGGTGCAAATATGGTCATGTCTGATGTGCAGTAAAGATGATCTTTCAGTAAACAATATATATACATACATAACATACATACAGACGCACATAACAGACAGGCAGGCAGGCAGGCAGACAGACAGACAGACAGAAAGACATACACACACACAGATGCGCGCACACACACACACACACGTGTGTAAAATCAATTGTCATATTTATGTATATAAGGCATAGCACTTTCTAGGCCATTGTTAAATATATATGAGATAACACTAGATAGGTAATTGACTATATATAAGGCATAATCTTTGTAATTCGGCAGGTGTGATGTTGACCACATCACTGGCCGAGTACCAATCGGTCTATGGAATATAGGTCAAGCCCTATATGCCCAAATACGCATGAAGGTGTGGAAAAGTGCCCTTTACTTTATATCTTGATAAAAGACTGTAGTCAAGGCATACCATTGCCTCGGTCATTGATTATTTATTAGGCATAAACCTATTCTGGTCATTGACTAAATATTAGACATCATACTCTCATGACAAATATGAGTTTTACTGACAAGTTCTGCCCCAACAGGTATGCTCTACTGGTGGGTCGTCCACCCTTTGAAACTACCACTCTGAAGGAAACATACCTGAGAATCACAGAAAACAACTATACCTTGCCGCCCTCTCTCTCAGCGTCTGCCAAGAATTTGATAAGACTGTGCCTTCACCCTGAGCCGACCAGTAGGCCTAGTTTACAGGTAATATTCAATGATTTAACTCTTAAGGGATACATATTCTCCCAATGTTCGATGCAAGTGAGTCTATCTCTTGGAATTTCCAAATATACATTTTTAAGTTAGAGAGCCGCCGTGGTCTAGTGGCTAGACGCTCGCCAGCGGATCAGAAGGTCATGGTTTCGATTCCTGACGGGGGCGGCCGGATTTTCCCCCCTCCAAAAATGACCATGGCTCCGGGCTCGACCCAGCCTTGAGTGGGTACCAGGTACAGTCATGGGAAGTAAAAGCGGCCAGCGTCATGCTGATCACATCGCCCACCAAGTGCCGTTTGATCTATAAAATATCGGTCTAGCCCCATAAACCCCATGCGCCTGAAAGGTGTGGAAAAGGGCCCTTTACTTTTACTTAAATTTTTTAAGCTATTTCAGTGATTTTTCTTTCTGAAACCATATCAATATCATCTTTTTCTTCTTCTTCTTCTTCTTCGCTTCCTCTTTTACCACCCCGGGTGTCAAGGGAGATATAATTTGTTTCTTTTTTGTCTGTCCACCTTGACCATAGACATGTCATGTAGTTTTATTTTTTCTCTGATATTATCTACTCATTTTAATCTTGGTCTGCCACATTCTGTCCATCCTTCTCCTCATTTAGTGTATGCCTCTTATAATGTGGGCATCACAAGGCCTTCTTTCTAAAAATGGCAAGCCATTTGATTTGCTGTCCTTGTGTATATTTTAGAATTGATTCTATGCTGACTTGTTCTCTTATGATCTCATTCTTGATTTTTTTCTCGTCTGATCACTCCTGCAGCCTTTCTCAGACATCTGATTCCGTGTACCATGGCTACTAATTTCTTTTTCTGGTTTATTGTGAGTGACCATGTCTGCCACTAGTAGCGTTGGTCCTCAGAAACTATAGCAATGTAGTAAAACAAAAACCATAACGATATACTCTGCAAAAGCCGTTATTACCATTGGGTTAAAGTTAAGTTAAAGCTAACGCCTAGAGCAGCAGTTCTCAAACCTGTGGGTGACGACCCCTTTGGTAGTCGTAATGACCCTTTCACAAGGGTCATCTAAACCATTGGAAAAAACATATTCACTGAAGATATTAAGTAGCATTGAAAACATTTGTATGGTTGGGATCACCACAACATGAGGAACTGTGTTAAAGAGTCCTGGCCTTAAGAAGGTTGAGAACCACTGATTTAGAAGAGTGACTTCATTACACCAGATTATGCCGCATTGCTTGGTCTGTCTCCACAGAATGGCTAGAAGCTTGCCAAGAGACACACAAAGCACAAACTCCATAGTTTCAGAGACACTCCCCAGAAATGTGTAAAGATGGCACTCGTGAACCGAACAAGTCCCCATGTGGGTTCTGGAGCCTCATCATAGAAAAGAGAATAGACCCACGCCCACAGCCTTCCATAACAAGCATGTCGAAAAAGTTTATAATTAGTGGTGTTTGCTTTGAAGTCGGAGTGCATCTCCTTGAGAGGCAAGGAACCAACAGTCTGCATAAAAATAAGCCAGATCTGTAAAATGGATGTGCACAGAAAACTCAGGTTCTTGAGCAAGGCTTAAATCGAAAAGTGAATGAACCAGAACTGTTAGTTTTATAGCTGATGAACTCAAAGTAGAAGAAGAATTGAATGATGTGTCGGTAAAACGAACCCACGACTTTGAATGCATGGCAAATGGCTTGACCATTTCACCAAAAAGAACTGTTAGGCCTTCACATAATCTAGGCCATGACAATGAGGTTTCAGTATTCATCACCTTTTTGTCCCAGATCTTCCCAGAAAATTCTGGAGATTTTCGAGTGCCCATTTTTTTTCTGAAGCCCGGAGATTCTAGAGCTGTAGTCATTATCAGCATCTTCATAAACCACTTCTGCGGTTTAGCGTCGTGGGGAGAAATAATTTGCGATCCAGTGCACACTGGCTGCCACTGGCAATTGTCATGCTATAAAGGCCTAGAGTGTCTTTAATATTGTCAATCCATATTTTGCGCAGCCTTCCGACTTGCTCTTGTAGCTGATCTTCCGAGATCAAGTGCTTGTGATGGTATTTGATCTTGCTGCATTCTAACGAGATGGTTAAATCACTTGTTCTGCTGTTTCTCGATGAATCTAGTACAAGGTGTCGTTCCCACAAATTGTCTGATAGTGTCATTATTCATTCGATCTCGGATGGTTAGGTTGGCGGCTTTTCTCGAATATCTTATCTCGCAGATGGTTATTTTGGGTATATGGGCTCTAGAGGGTGTCCATGTTGTACTACTAGTCTGAAAAACAACAAACAACACTGGCAGCTGAATTGAAGCCCTCAAACAAATCAACTTCTAAATGAGTAATCCTTTCATTCCCAAGCAGTATATATTGCTCTTCTCTGAGCCCTAGCAAGTGGCCCTTGGATCATTGCCAGTTGTATTATGTTAATGATCTTTCTATGCTAGGGCTCCGGCATGTGGCCTGTGACGATCCCTCTTTTCAGAATTTTGGCCCCTAAGTTAGCTTAGCTGAATAACCCTTATATATATAAATATATATCTTTTACATTTGGGCTTTACAAACTGCAGAAATCTGGCTTCCCAGTATGTAATTTCTTATGAGTCACTTATGGTTTCTTATAATGGTTACTGGCGCCTTTGGTAATAACCTATGAAACCTTTTGGTACTGAAAGATTTAATTAGAATCTTCTGTTCAGACTAGAAAACAATAACATATTCAGTAATGCAGTCCACATGTACACAAAATTTAAAATCTGCAAATTAGCCATGTGCACATGTGAATTGGCACCTGAGACAACAGATCATGTCCTCAAAGACTGTCCCAACTACAACATATCAAGGCCAAACTTTTGGCCAAGAGAAACATAGGTGCAAGTCAAACTTTACGGGTTGTTGAGTGAATTACAAAAGACAGTGAAGTTCATACAAGAGACAACATTGCAGATATAGATAATTTTTTTTAAGCGAACCAAAGAAGAAAAAGAAGTAATGCAGTATGTTTCTAAATGTTTGAATTTTTTTTTTCCGAATGCTAAAGACGATGCTCACAAACAATTTTATCAGCAGATTTGCGCGAATTTTTGTGCTGTACTTGTTTTATATGAGATTTGTCATCAGTAAATGTAAAGTTATCATAATTTTATGAATGACTGATTATCAATTTCAACTGCTTTTTTGTTTTGTTTTCTAGGACATTCTCTCTGATGAGTTTTTCACATGCGGCTACTTGCCTCGTTGCCTTTCTCCCTCCTGTTGCACAACTGCTCCAAAGCTTCCATCTTATGTACGGGGCAACAGTAGCAGGTAATTATTTTTAGGTATTTGTCTCCTTTTGTCGGTCACATTTAAAAAACAAAACTAAGGAAAAGGTTTTAAACCAAGGCATATCTATATACTGTATTTATATTATTCATGCAGTTGTTAGATTATAGCTTGATAAATGTATTCTTGTATTTTGAAAATCAACTTAACTTTCCTTTCAAACAGTTTGTTCACTTTTGAAAGGAATTATATAGTATAAGAAGTCACAGGGACCTAGGGAAATTGTTCCATTTGTCAGGAATTCTACTTATTCAGATGGCACGCATAGTAGAGAGTGTATACTAATAACTCACAGTAGCACTGATTCACACAATTATGCCACTTAGAAAACACCATAAGTTAACACATTAATAGAAATACAGTGTCAGTAATGTTGAAATGTTTAATATGCTTACATGGGGGAAAAGACAGTTATGCTTCAGCAAATTTAGTAAACAAGAAAAAGGGGGTAAGAGGGGAAGAGACTATAGAGGAAAGGAAGGAGAAGATTGAGAGAGAGGAGAGAGTAAGGATGACTCAGAGAAGCAGATGAAGACAACAGATGAGAGAGAGAGAGAGAGAGAGAGAGAGAGAGACAGACAGAGAGAGGGAGAGAGAGAGAGAGAGGAGATGAAACAGGAAGAAGAGATAAAGAGGAGGCAGGAAGTGGAGAGCGAGATAATAGAATGAGGATAGAGAGGGAAGGGAGAGGATAAGAAGAGGGAGGGAGAGAAAGGAGAGGAGATAGGTAGAAGAGGGAAGATATGAGGGTAGGTGAAAGGTAGAAAAAACATTAACGTTTAATTGTTAGCTGCCAAACTTGATTGATTTCACTTTCAGCTTAGTTACTAGAGAAAAAAATTGATTCTGTAATAAACTAGTCATTAATTTTGATACAACTAAGTTCTGTATATAAAAAAAAAATCAGTAAAGGACCCTTTTCCATGCCTTTAGGTGTATAGGGCATACGGGGCTAGACCTATATTTTTATAGACCAATTGGCACAAGATGAGTGATCTGGTCAGCATCACGCTGGCCGCCTTTACTTTCCGGTACTGCACCCGGTACCCACTCAAGGCTGGGTCAACCTGGGAGCCAAGGTCATGTTTAAAAAAAAGTCCAACTTCATCAGGGAGCAAACACACGACCTTCCGATCTGAGGTGAACATCTAGCCACTCTGCCACGGCGACTCCTAATTAAGTTCTGTATGTTGACTATATTCTGTAATATAACTTCTATACCTATGTGGTGCATCACATTGTCAGTCAGATTCTTTATGAAAAATTTAAACAGTAATATAGTGGCAGTTAAATTAATTTTATGCAAAGTAGTTTCTAGAATACAATTTATTCTATAATACATTGGAAGTTAATTTCCGTATGTTCAGTCCCAGATGGTTTCAAAGTAGAAACTCACCTTAGCACAAAAATCACAGTGAAGAAGGCAACAGTATATCACTTTCAAAGATACAGCATATACTAAGATGTATTCAAAGTATTTAGCCAGATTTATTTTGCATACTCAGACCAAACATGAAATAATGTGTTGTGTTGATGCACAAAGATTAGCTGAGCACACAAGGTACGTTGCTTGCAACCGAAGGAGTTTAGTTTAAGAGTTAGTTTTTTTTAAGACTTCTTTTTTACTTGGAAATTGACTGTTTTATTTTGTTTGTTTCAGACCGCTGTCTTATGTTGTCCCCACTGAGACAAAGATTGACTCTGTTGGACAGCTAGGAAATGCCATCAGTCAGATGCATTTGGATTCACGTTCTGAGAATCTTCTAGAAGAAAAAGAACTGGAGGTGTGTTATTAAAGTTTATTCTTTTTCGTCACTTTGCTTGCTGTAATGCTGGCATATTATCACAATTAGATTATCATAGTAGAACAGTTGCCCTCATTGTAGTAAGTACTTTGCAGCATATGCTTGTAATCAAAATTAATCCTACTTTCATGAATTGTTTAGGCTCTTCTATTCTCTGGGGAAAGAAAAGGATGGGGGGGGGGGGGGAGTGTCATAGCTCTTAGCCTTTCTTCTGCCGGGCATTGCCCACATAAAATTATAAAAACAGCTGCTTATAACGCTGGAAGTAAACTATAACCCTAGTAGTGCTTGCTTGCTAGGAAAGAAACAAGGAGTTTGTAGCAAAAAGCCAGTGAAAAATCTTTAGTGTAAGACAGTGTGGCATACGACACCACAACATCTAGCATGAGAATGGAGGTGGAGGCGGTAACTGCAACTCTCCGGTGGCTAGAGAACAAAATGCATACACATGTCATAATTGTAACAGACTCTGAAAGCATGCTGAGAAACGTGAAGACAGGGATGCTTTGAGCAGAGTGGCAAGCTTCACTAGAAAGGTCACAGGTAGTAAGCATACTTTGGATCTTTTCTCCAGGCAATGCTGGCGTGGTGGGAAATAAACAGGCAGACAGATTGGCTGGATCTGCACCACTGGATCGTGAATTAATACATGACAAGGCAGATCTAGTCAAGGCCCTTTGGGAACAAGCAACGGAATCAGTAGAGAAACAAGATTATTATGGCCTGGAGAGAATGAGTCATCTGGGTGTAACCGGAGGGTCTTGCTGGCTCTATACACTTTAATGAAAGGCAAGACGGACATATAACCAGATAGTGACCGGTACCAACAGTATTGGAACTCTGTGTTGGCTGCTAAAGATGAGGATGGAGCATGCATGGGAATGCCCTGAGTGCTGTGATGTCAATTATTGACTCAACTAGGGTAGAGACAGGGGATGTTCCAGAGAAGGCACAATAACATACTGTTATCTTTATAACAAAAAAAAACAAAAAAACAACATACTTGACTGTTCCTAGCTGTGCTAATTAAATATAGAGAAGATGGCACTATACCAGAAAGATACATGGACTGGCCAGTAAAATGTGGTTTATACATTTTAGCAAAAGAAAATATAAATTTGTGTACTTCATTATATGCTAATTTAATTCTTTAGTAATGCACCTGACCAGATAACAGTGAAATATGCCAGGCAGGACATAATGCATTGTATTGTTTGTGTCCTCATTATTTAAATAAATAGCCAGATTTTTACAATGCAGAGACGGTGTTTGATTATCATCATCATGTGTTATGTGTGAAAATTACATAACTATGAAAATACTTAAATTTTCTCCCATTTGCAATTCACATACAGGATATTGAAAAGATAGCCCGTCTCCAGCCAGTCACTCCCACCAACCGTGCCGGTGACGGTAACCATGTGACCAAGAGCACAGTCACGAGTATCAAAGCTAGTAGTAATGGCAGTTCTGGTGACAGGTCAAGGTCGCCACCTCAGAGAGGTAATAATTTCACTAAGAGCTATGGTGTGGGTTCTGGGGCTCTATGGGGTGGGTGCGCAAAAATTGACCCACTGCCTCCCCAACAAGCACATGTCGTATGAGTCTACTAATTGGGTTCTTCCTTCACAGTCGGACTACATCTGCCTAATCAGCATGGAACAACCAGCTGCACACAAATAAGTGGGTGGGTGCGCAAAAATTGACCCACTGCCTCCCCAACAAGCACATGTCGTATGAGTCTACTAATTGGGTTCTTCCTTCACAGTCGGACTACATCTGCCTAATCAGCATGGAACAACCAGCTGCACACAAATAAGTGGGTGGGGTGCGCAAAAATTGACCCACTGCCTCCCCAACAAGCACATGTCGTATGAGTCTACTAATTGGGTTCTTCCTTCACAGTCGGACTACATCTGCCTAATCAGCATGGAACAACCAGCTGCACACAAATAAGTCAGTAATTTGGATGTACACGCAAAAACTCAGACCCTGGAACAAAGCCAGAATCCAAATGGACTAACAACCATAACTTTCCACTGGAGCTTACAGCCGGTGAACAAAGAAGAAGAAGATCAAAATCTTCAATAAGGAAGATTATTTATGTAATGCTTAATTATTGCTTATTTACAATTGCTGAAGAGCTCTGTAAGCCTGTGATTCCTAGTTAGCTAAGATCTAGGAACTTACCCTCTTATTTTTTAAAGCCTGAAATGAACAGCATACTTCTAATAGTTATTTTGAAGAACTTATGATTTGAAATTTTAGAATGACAAAAAGGATTGCTGTTTAAATTACAATTGATCACTGACCTCATGAGGGCTAATTGGCTGAACCGGCTGGGGCATGTTGAGAGAATGTCAGATGACAGAGAGGTAAAAATATATGTACAGAGAGCTGATTAGTGGTAGACCATGAGGCAGACCAAGAAAATATGGAAAGATAATATACAGAGAGACCTATAAATATGGTGTCACCAGCTGGAAAGAGACGGCCAGTCAGAGAGATGAATGGAGGTGGGTGATATCTGCAGCAATGAACCTCAAGGGCTCAGAATGCTAAAGAAGAAGAACAAGAAAAAAAAAGGAACTTTAGAATGAATGATTGATTGAATCAAAAATTGACATCCCTGCATTCCGGACATTCCCACACATATTCCATCTCCTTTCTCGGGAGCGAATAAAAGAGTTGATACGCTAATAATATGTTACAACCTGATTAAAAATCTGTCAATGTTTTTCCCCCTCTGTGTTAAAATATCTTCCAGAATCTCTGCTTACTTACCCCCTGTTGAATTAGTCTTTCAGTGTGTGCATACTCTGTCTGTTCTGCTGCACTGTCTGTTTGATCCTCTAGAGCTTTCACCATGTCTGCTTTATCATAAATTAGCTAACAAAGTTGAGAGTTGTTTGTGTGTAAATGATATCACAGACCCCTTAACTCTTTCAGTCCCAAACAGCTGTTACTTTAAAAAGATTCTACCCCAAGGAGTTGAAAGCTTACAAGCAATAAACAATCTTTTTTGAGGCCGTTGAGCAGAAACATAGTGGGACAGCAAGAGTTAAACTAATAATTCAGATATATAGGAGGTTAATATAACATCTGACTGTGGTAAAAGTCAGCAGGGACCTTCTCTTAACTTTTGGAATGACCAAGAAACATCGGGCATGTTATTTTATAGTGGAATAGTTACATTTTTTAATGTGTTCTGCAGACAACCAGATGGAAAACACTGCTATAAACCATAGATGTAAGAGAGAAAATTCACATGTTTTGATTTACACTCATAGTAACAATGGAAGGAAGTCCTTCAGTCTCTTCCTCTTTTTCTCCTCTACTCTGAGGAAGATTATAAGGTTTCTCAAAATGTTGTTAACAATTTGTATATTTTATTGGGACTGAATATATCAGAATTTTCACATATTTAGAGAGTAATTTTATAATTAAGTGACAGTTTAAATGATAATAATACACTACAACCTTCTGATATTTTTAACCACATTGTAGAGTTTTTTTTTTTTTTTAAATTAAACTGAGAACCTTCTAGTGTGGTCAGGAAAAAAAGTAGATTAGGAATATGGAAAAAATTGAAGAAAAAAACTGGCACCACTTCATTGCAGTCAACATGATAAATCAATCTTTCTTATTATTGTCTTTAGTTTATCTCAGTTCTGTTCATATTCCTGTTATTAAATTAAAAAGTTTTTTGTGTGTGTGGGATATATGTCTTGAAAATTAAATTCTGTATATTTCCTATAGATTCATGAAAATTAAATTCTGTATATTTCCCGTAGATTCATGAAAGTTAAATTCTGTATATTTCCCATAGATTCATGAAAATTAAATTCTGTATATTTCCCGTAGATTCATGAAAGTTAAATTCTGTATATTTCCTATAGATTCATGAAAATTAAATTCTGTATATTTCCCGTAGATTCATGAAAGTTAAATTCTGTATATTTCCCATAGATCCATGAAAATTAAATTCTGTATTATTTCCTATAGATTAATGAAAGTGAAATTCTGTGTATTTCCTATAGATTCATGAAAATAAAATTCTGTATATTTCCCATAGATTCATGACAATTAAATTCTGTATATTTCCCATAGATTCATGAAAAATTAAATTCTGTATATTTCCCATAGATTCATGAAAAATTAAATTCTGTATATTTCCCATAGATTCATGAAAATTAAATTCTGTATATTTCCCGTAGATTCATGAAAGTTAAATTCTGTATATTTCCTATAGATTCATGAAAATTAAATTCTGTATATTTCCCGTAGATTCATGAAAGTTAAATTCTGTATATTTCCCATAGATCCATGAAAATTAAATTCTGTATTATTTCCTATAGATTAATGAAAGTGAAATTCTGTGTATTTCCTATAGATTCATGAAAATAAAATTCTGTATATTTCCCATAGATTCATGACAATTAAATTCTGTATATTTCCCATAGATTCATGAAAAATTAAATTCTGTATATTTCCCATAGATTCATGAAAAATTAAATTCTGTATATTTCCCATAGATTCATGAAAAATTAAATTCTGTATATTTCCCATAGATTCATGACAATCAAATTCTTTATATTTCCCATAGATTCATGAAAAATTAAAATCTGTATATTTTCCGTATATTAATGAAAGTTAAATTCTGTAAAATTTTCTATAGATTCATGAAAATTACATTCTGTATATTTCCTATAGATTCATGAAAATTAAATTCTGTATGTTTCCTATAGATTCATGAAAATTACATTCTGTATATTTCCCATAGATTCATGACAGTTAAACTCTGTATATTCCCATAGACTCGCCGTTTAAACCAAAGTCTGCTGCTACGCTCCTGGATGCTCTTGGAGCCTGTCTGGAGCGCATGCCAAAAGGTCAGGATTTTTTAATGATCAAGCTGAAATATTTGAACAAAAAAGACACAAACAATAAATTGAACAATTTATTGCCTGGCTTATTTCGCTGTATCTCATCAGATGCACACTGGAGTAAAAGTTGATTAAAATGAAGCAAATAAAAAGTAAAACACGAAATCGACTACATTTGAAAAGGGGTAAATGCAAGGTGAAGACCATATCCTTTTTGTCTGCATAATTCTAGACTAGGCCAGTTTATAGCGCTTGCTTCCTCAGATCTCAAAAATCTGCAGTTGGCTGAGGTGTAAATAGTTTGAAATGCACCGTCCTTGTTTACAATTTGCCTAGAATTCAAAATATGGCGAGCCATGGCTAACGGGTTATTTCGTGAGTGTGTGTGGACCAGTCACCAGATTCATTGTTAAGTAGTTGTTCTGGTTTAGTGCAGAATTGTGCAGACAAAAGGATATGGTTTTTAATCTTGCATTTACCCTGGTGAAACAGTTTTTGAATGTAGTCAGCTTTGTGTTTCAGTTGGAAGGAGTCATAACAAGGACAAACTGGGCATGAAGGTTCACAAAGTGGTAAAGGTGGCAAGGTGCACTGGAGTGCCAGCGTCATGTGGTGAGAGTGGCATTCAGCAAAGGAAGGACCTGCTAAATGATCTTATCAGGGATATGGTCGTGAGATTATAACTCTTAGTATTCTTCTTTTACTTGACATTCACCATTAAAAGGATTGTTGGTACATTAAGTTGTGGTTTGCAGCTAGGCTGCAAAATCAGCATCTTTCAGGTCAATACATCCAATTTTAGTGGACCCAGTTATTTGTCTTTTAAGACCTGCTTGTTGGGGAGCAGTGGATCTGTTCTCCAACCCCCCCCCCCCCCCCCCCCCCCACCCCCCACTCATCCCATGAGCGTCTCCCCCCCCCCCCCCCACCCCCACCCCCCCCCCCCCTCCCAAAAAAAAAAACTAATCTGCCTCCAATGCACACATGGGGACTTGGCATTCTTAAAAAAAAAAAATAGACAGGGATATCATGAGCATGAAGATTTAGGGCTGCATGGCTGGTTCTGTAGCCACGGACTGTGCCAGTTAGGATGTTTTTGCCTCCCCGACAGAAAAACTCCTATTCACCTTACCGGGGACTGAATCCGGGTCTCCTACATGAGAGCCTGATGTAATCACTCGGCCAGCCACACCCCTGGTGTTCACAATCATGCTTAAATCCATCTTTAAAATTTCTGTACTTAAAACTATACAGATTAAAACCTGATTTCTTTTTGTTCCCCAGGCTCAAAGTCCAACCCCACAGCCATCACTGCCGAGATAATATGGGTTACAAAATGGGTGGACTACTCAAACAAGTATGGGTTTGGATTCCAGCTGTCCACTGATGCTCTGGGGGTGCTGTTCAATGATACGTCCAGGATAATCATGGCACCTGATGGGAGGTCAGTTCTCCTTCATTTATTCCAGATTTTCTGGCTTATATATGGGTTACCATTTTGCCTATTTTTGAAGTAACTTTTGAGTTCTTCTTCATCTTCTTCTTCAGCGATCTCTGGTCATGTGCATAATCCACTGTGGGCCATAAACTAGGAAGTCTTTTCAAGGTCACTTAGGTTTCACCAAAGCTTAGTTGCCATATGTTGCTCCGCAGCTCCGCCAGGAGAGGACAGTCTTGCAGGACATGTTCTGGAGTCTGTAGCACGAAGACACTGGCAGAGAGCACTTTTGAGTTCATAAGTATTCATTTAAAAAAAAAAAAAGCTACAGTAGCAACAAATGCCATTCTTCTTCTTCTTCTGCTCTAGTCCTTTTCTGCATTTCAGCATCAGGTTTTGAAGAGGCATCGAGTGTGTGCCTTGGTATGTGCTTCGTAGATGCTGGTATTTACAGCCTTGGATATTCCATTTATCCATCGCTTGTATGGTCGACCTCAGGTGAAAATCTGGATGTAGAAATAGATGTAAATAGAGAAAACATGCTGGCATAGAAAGCTGCCAACACATCAGTTGCTACATTCTGCTGAGAATTAAATGATATTGTCAAACTTGGTTATCTTTGCCAGTAAAGTTGATAATGTCATTGATAATATTCATGATGATTATTGCTTCTAGTATAATTTCCTCATTCAACATATGTTACAACTGCCCCATATAATGAATATTTATAACATACAGTTTTACCTGTCAACATCGGTGGTTTAGTGTTTGTGAATGCAGTTTCATATTTCCAGCATACCAGGGTTTACAGTCAGCTGTTGGCTGTTTAATAGCAGGCTACTGGGGGTGTTATCTGGATCATGGAAAAAGTAATGTTCATGGTGTAAATGAAATGAAAGAGATGAAGGATTGGCAGTGTTTGCAGTAGTTAGTGGAGCAAGAAATATGGATAGGATGTAAATGCTACATGCGCTGCATTCCAGAGTTGTTGGGACAAAGGAATCAGAAATGATAACTGTCTTTTGATATTCTTCTTCTTCTTTTTCTTCTTCTCATTCACCAGCTGTGAATTCCGACGGAAGGCCCCGGTAGTTAGTCCATTTGGACTTTTACCTGGACCTGTGTGCTCATCCGCGTTTTTTTTCTTTCTTTACATGAGGACACGCATGCAGAAACCGATTGCGAAGCACAGAAAGGAGATATGCCAGCCAACTCTATTGTGTACGATGAGCATGGAGACACTGAGGTGGTTGCCGTGTGGGAGGACAGTGCACAAATGGCTCAGACTGATAAACTAGGATGTCACTACAGATACTAGTAACAGTTAAACTAGGATGTCACTACAGATACTAGTAACAAGTAATCAACAGAAAACAATAGCAAACTACTAAATGCAAAATTGCCTTATAAAACTGTCTGTGGTTTAGGGGTTGTGACCTGTAGATAAGGGCATGAAGAAGATGACGACACAACAGGAGGAAAAGAAAAACATTATGCTTTCCTAGGTAAAATGTTCAAACTGGAAAAAATACAAAAGTGTCACCATCTATGGGTCATGGATTATGAATGCAGTTTTGTAATTCCAACACACCAGGTTTGATTCAGCTGCAGGAAGTTTGGCAGCAGACCCCTCTGCATTGATTTTGACAAAGGTATGGAGATCTAACCATTCAGAAGCAATGGCAAACTACTGAATGTAAAATTATCTAGTGAAAACTGCAAGCAGCCAACAAACTCTTTGGTTTGTTTGCAAAGTCCTGATGTACAACTAACTTTTTTTTTTAAAGCACCCTATTAGGGTTACAGGACCCCATTATAGAGGGGGGGGGAGATAGAACCCCCCCCCCCCCCCCTTTCCCCCTCCCCACCGTCCAACAAAGAATGTCATAGAAGTTGACACATGATGAGTGTTTCCTTTCAAGTCAAGGTGCATCTGCTTAAGAGGCAAAGAACCAGCTGTCTGCACACAAATAAGCCAGATCTATAAAATGATTTGCACGCAAAACTCAAGTTCTGGAACAAGACTGAAGTCCAGAAGTGTACGAACAAAGAAGGAACCTTTTGCCAGGTGAACACAAGAAAGAAGAAAAAGACAAAAATATTACAGCTGCCAATACATTTTGGGGTTGGTTTGTGATATCGTAAAGACAAGGTGCTTGTAAATGTTTGAATGATTCCGACACATGTCGTAATTGTAACAGACTGTGAAAGCATGCTGAGAAAGGTGAAGACAGGGATGTTTTGAGCAGAGTGGCAATCTTCTCTGGGAAGGTCATGGGTAGTGAGCATACTTTGGATCTTTTCTTCAGGCGGCGTAGTGGGTATCGGACATGGGAATGCCCCGAGTGCTGTGATGTCAATTCTTGACTCAACTCAACTGAATGATTCCGTTTTTTTCCCCAGGGCTGTCCAGTACTATGACGTCACAGGCAAACTGTCTGCCTTCAGCTCTGACTGCATTCCAGACGAGCTGGAGAGAAAGACAACTCTGCTTCAGTATTTTGCTCGTTACATGGATGAACATCTTATTCAGGTAAGTTAAAATAGGGAGGTTAAAGTTCATCTGATGTCACCGATTACTGATTTCTTATTTAAAATCATAGCGCACTGGGCATACCCATAGATGCTCCTTCTCCTACAGCAAATATCTTAAGGTGTAGATGCTAACTACTCTCTTAGCACACTGATTATCCTTGCTAGATCCTCATCCTTGCTAGATCCTCCTCCTTGTTAGATCCACTCCTCCTGGCTAGATCCACACCTCCTTGCTACATCCACTCCTCCTTGCTTGGAGTGGACCAAGCCCTCACATCATCTAACTTTTCTGCTCTATTGCACCATCAGTTTGATCCCAGGGAGCCTTCTTTGTCAGTTAAGGTGAGAAAGAGAATTCTCAAGAGCTGCATAAATCCTTTCCTGATATACGGAAGTGAATCATGGACACTTAACCAGTTAGTGAAAATTATGTGGAAGCGGCAGTGTAGTTTTTATAGACGAATGATAGGAACAGCCTGGACAGATAAAAAGAGTAATGAAGATGTTATGAAAGAAACTGAGATGAAGAGAACTGATTGCTCACATCAGAAGGAGACAGTCTACATTCTTTAATCACACCATGAGAAGAAGAAAACCAGAGGACACCATGATAGTGGAAAAGTTAGAAGGGGAAAAGAGACAGATTGAAACAGAAAGAGGTTGCTGAAAATATTGACATCATGGCATGGAAGATCATCAGAACTCATTGAAGGTACATGAAACAAAAAGTTGTGGATAGTCATGACCACCAGACCAGATGACAGGGACTATGAGAATAAGGGTACAGAGCTTGCTTCCTTATGTATTCTCCAGTTTTTAGGTATTTAATTGTCAAATGATTTCAACCCAGTTGTCAAGTGCTTCACTGCGGAGGACAGGGGTAAGGAGTATTGTCTGGATTTTTTCTTCAGGAAATGCTGGTGTGTTAGGAAATGAACAGGCAGACAAACTGGCTGGCTCTGCACAACTTGGAGGATTCATGATAAGGCAGATGTGGTTAGTGCCTTGTGGGAGAGCATGTACAGTTTGGGGGAGCAGATGGATCACCACAGTCTGGTGAGATTGATGCAGCTGGAAGTGACAGGGGGTTTATGGCAGATGCTCGAGGCTCAGAGCAAAGGCAAGATGGATGTTTATTCATAATTCTACAGGCACCATTAGTATCAGAACTCTGCGCTGGCTGCTGAAGATGGGGATGGAGCACTAATGGGATTGCCTCAAGTGCTGTGATGTCGGTTCTTAAATCAACTCAACCCAACTCTTTCATGTGACATAAGGCAAAACTCACTAAACTGTCTTCTCTTGTTACCCGCATTTTTATCCCCCACGTTCTCTCTTGCAAAGATTTAATAATGTAATTGTTAGAACTGTAGACCTCCTGCAGTGTTTTGAGTCATTATCTGTATTCCCTTGTTGTGGAACTAGAAATGATGCCATTTATATTATGAATGGTATTTCTTTACCTAAAAATATGTCGTAGTTTTATACTGTGTTGTGTTGTTAAACTATCAGGCAAATTGTGGGAACGACACCTTGTACTAGATTCATCGAGAAACAGCAGATCAAGTGGTTTGGCCATCTCGTTAGAATGCAGCAAGATCAAATACCATCACAGGCACTACATCTCAGAAGAACAGCTACAAGAGCAAGAGGACGACCACAGAAAACATGGATCGACAACATTAAAGTCACTATACCTTCACGGCATGACAATAGCCAGTGGCAGTCAACATGCACTGGATCGAAAACCATTCCTCCCCACAGCCCTTAATGGTAGAAGTGTTTTATAATGATGATGATGATGATTGTTGACTTTGATGTTTGTTTTTCTTTCTTTTTTTCAGGGTGGTGATGTAGAAAATTCCAGTAGCAGTGATTCTATCTCTTGGTCTGGGTCAGTGTTCTTGAAGAAATGGTTCCGCACTGCTAAAGCCATTATTCTATATCTTAGTGATGGAACCCTGCAGGTAAAAGAAAAGATGTGGTTGGTTTTCAATTGTGTTTTTTTAAAAACTCATTCTATAGAGTTACAGTTACTCATACATGGAACATTTATTACCAGTTAAATTCCTAGACAGTAGTATCAGGCATACGTCAACTGTGAGAAAGGTGAAGAAAGGGATGCTTCAAGCAGAGTGGCAAACTTTACTAGGAAGGTCAAAGGTAGTGAGCATACTTTTTATCTTTTCTCAAGGTCATGCCGGCATAGTGGGCAATGAACATGCAGACAGACTGGCTGGATCTGCACCACTGGGTGGTGAATTGATACATGACAAGGCAGATGTGGGCAAGGCCCTGTGGGAGCCAGCAACGGAACCAGTAGAGAAACAAGATTATTATGGCCTGGAGAGAATGAGGCACCTGGGTGTAACCAGAGGGTCTGGCCAGCTCACTTGACTCAGAGGAAAGGCAAGACGGACATATAACCAGATTTTGACCGGTACCCTCAGTATTGGAACTCTGCGCATACTGCTGAAGATGAGGACGAAGCACACATGGGAAGGCCCCGAGTGCTGTGATGCCAATTCTTGACTCAACTCAACTGTGACTGCTTTAGTTTGGCATCAAACTTGGACCTGGCCAGACATGATTGCCACAATGGCTCTGATGGGTAGATATATACCAGCATGCAATAGGGATAATCATCATCCATAGCATTTGACCTCGGCTTGGAGAAGACTAAGTACTTTTATATTTGTTGTGAGTTTTAAGATGACAGATCTTTAATCACAAGCATGTCACCATATATATTCACTAGTAGCCTCACTCTTCTTTGTCAGGAGTTTGATCTAGAGTAGACTGGCAAAAAATTGTAACTTTCAAATTCTCTCCATCGTCTGACATTTTGATGAAATTGGTGTTGCTTAAATCACCTTTAACCCAACTGTTTAGCCTTTAAAAGTTGATCTTTTTCTATTCTGGGTGATAATTTTTTGCATCCCAGGTCATAGTTGATATGCCAGTGAGTCAGTTGTGAAATCAACAAAATAATGGGTATAAGTGGCCTAAATACACATCTCTTGTGGGAGACAAAATGTGATGTGTATTTTAGCAAACCATGATTAAACCTAAAATGTACAAACATAACAGTACGTTAACTGTTGCATTTGGGTCAATTCGTCACACATGGTGTCTTGTTTGGGACTGAAAGAGTCAGTTTTACAACTCAATATGGTTCCCGCAAAGGCTGACCTGGTCAACAAATACCTGCAGAAGTTTGATGTTTCAGCCGAGAGACCCAGATATCGCAGCCGTACTGTAAACAGGCACAACACAATTATGTCTTTGGATGAATGCAGAATAAAGGAAGAAGCATTTGGTTCATTGAGTCCAGAAGTTTATGAACAACCAGAACTTTCTGCTGGAGTTTACAGCCAGGGAACATGCAGAAGAACAACCATAACTTTCTGCTGGATTTTACAGCCAGGGAACATGCAGAACAACCAGAACTTTCTGCTGGAGTTTACAGCCAGGGAACATGCAGATCAACCAGAACTTTCTGCTGGAGTTTACAGCCAGGGAACATGCAGATCAACCAGAACTTTCTGCTGGAGTTTACAGCCAGGGAACATGCAGATCAACCAGAACTTTCTGCTGGAGTTTACAGCCAGGGAACATGCAGATCAACCAGAACTTTCTGCTGGAGTTTACAGCCAGGGAACATGCAGAACAACAGCTTGCACCATGACACTCGTGAAACTTGCATTTGTGGGTGCAGGGTGAGTGAGATGATGATAGTGATCACTGTGGGATATACATGTATTTCTTATTGAGCATTGTTATTCATTCATATACAAGGAAAAATAAATTGTAGAAATATTAATAGGTAAAATGGGAGTCTTTGTGGTAAAGACAACAATCAGGTCACTTACCTCACAATATGAAGGTCCTGGATCCCTTTCACGGATTGTGAATCAGCTCAGGAGTGCAGTTAAAAAGAGTTCCCTGGGATTTGTGACTAAGGCTTTGGAGTTCATGTTTTGTGCTGACTTTTGGCAGGTAGCTAGTTGTTCTGCAGAGAGACTGAGCCATATGGGATCAAACCTCTTGTTGTGTCAACTTTAAACCTTCATAGATAAGCAAATACACACTTGACACTGGAAAGAATGAGAACAGTAGTAAGTAGAGCTGCCTTGGAGTGACTGCTGCATTTAAAGAACAAGCACACATGGGAATGTCAAAGGTGTGGTGACATCAACTGTAATAAGATACCATAGATGGTATGTGTAAGTTCACTCATGACAACTTGATGGAATACTGATACATGATAAGGCAGACATGGTTAGGGCCTTGTTGGAGAATGTGTATAAGTCGGAGGCGCAAATGGATCACCACAGTTTGATGAGAGTGATGCAGCAGGGGGCTACGAGGTGATCTGGTCGATACTCGACACTCAGAGGAAAGGCGAGACGAATCTATAATTAGAATGCTGTTGGCACCATTGGTATTGGAACTCTGTACTGGCTGCTGTAGATAGGGAGGGAGCGCTTATGGGAATGCCCGAGTGCTAAGATGTCAGTTCTTGAATCAATTCAACCCAACTCAACTCATGACATTTGTGTTTTTTATTTGCAGGTCAATTTTTTTGACGATCACACAAAACTGATCCTGAGCAACATTAAGCAAGAGTACATGGTAACTTACATAGACCAGGAACGATGCGCAAGGACATTTCATTTGAGTCATATTCTCAGAGAAGGATGCACTGCTGAAATACTGGATCGAGTGGCATTTGCCAGAGTAATGCTGAAAAATCTGGTAGATATAGAAGGGGCAGATATCTGAGGAGATGTTGATCCATTCTTGAAGTGTGCTAGTTCTGATTAAAATTGCTACTGTTCAGTTTGGATATGCAGTATCTGTTCCAAAAGAATCTCAGAAGTGCTTGTTGGCTTCCAAGCTCACTTTTGTCCCTATAATCAGGTTAGAAAGTAAAGATCCCTTTTCATGCCTTTAGGCGTATCGGGCATATGGGAAGAGCGCCCGTATTTTTAAAGACCATCGGTGCTAGGTGGGTAATGTAGTCAGCATTACACCAGCCGTCTTTACTTTCCCAGGACGGCCTTCCTGATACCCATTTTAGGCTGAGTCAACCCCTGAGGAACCCTATACTATGATACAAATCCATGCAGCCAGCAGTGGGTTTCCATCGCGGTATGTTGGTATAATCAGGTTAGAAGGTAAAATATTTATAGCTTGTAAATCTCTTTTCGAATGCTAGTGGAAAGTACTTCTCTCCCCCCCCCCCCCCCTCCCCCCCCCCCCCCCCCCCAACAAGAGTAAGGTTTTCAGCAATCAGAAGCCAGATTTATGATGGATTGGTATGTTGAGAAAATGTCTTCTTCTTCACTTGCCCTGGGAGTAAACTCTGGCAGAAAGTTCTGGCTGTTCATCCACTTCTAGACTTTGGTTTTTGTTCCAGGACTTGAGTTTTGCATGCACATCCATTTTGCATGCTAGCCAGCTATTGACAAAGCTGGGTCAACCTCACAAGCTGTAGTTACGGGATATAACTCCTGTATCCCCCAGAAGTCAGTTACCTGTCCCTGTAATCCAGTGCATTAACTACCGCTGTTTACAGTGGCTGCTGTAATTAGTGCAGAGAATGATGCAACTATTCGCTTGCTGCTGAAGATGATGACGGAGCACTTATGGGAATGTTCTGAGTGCTGTGATGTTGGTTTTTTTTTAAAGCTCAGCTCAGCTTATTAATGTTCTTGACATGCTTGCTACCATTTAAGAAAATATTTCTCAACAACTGTTTAGCCTCACTTCGTGACATTTTGAGAAATATTTGATTATAATGTCATGATAAGAAAAATCAGTTTAGTAACCCTGCAATAAGGTTTGGTTTTTCATTTCTCGGTATTGTATTAAAAAAAAAAAAAAAAAAACTAGATTAGATAATTATGGCATTTTTCAAATAATTATGGCATTTTTCAAATTGTATTACAGAATATCTAGGTGGAAATTACTTGCTGTCCAATTTATTGATTATTCAGTTGCAGTGACATGGAAAATAAAATACATAAGGACATATTCATTAAGATCAGTGCAGTGGTTGTAAAAATATTATTGAGCAGTTGACTCGGCTGCGGCCGATGTTCGAAAACGGATGGTTCCTGGGGTTCACCCAACCTCTAGGTTATGGGTACCAGAGTTAACACTCTGGGGTAAATGGAGGAACGTCGCTGTAGCTACAGAGTTGCATGCAGACGGCGATACAGGCAGACAGTTTTTTTGTTATCAGCTGTCCGTACTGGTGGCAGAGCACTTATGGTTTGTAACCAATGACGCTGGTTCACATCTCCCAACTTTACCTTTTTATATTGAATGCTGTTTAAAGGCACGTTGTATCCCAACAGACTATGGACTCAGTTCCTTTAAAAAAATACTGTGTTATGTGTACTTGATTAGTTTATTTCAAACAGCTGAGTTTGTTGATTTAATAATAGCATCGTTCTTCATGTTTGAGCTAGTACAAAAAGTGTCGTCAGAATTTATTTTTATTCACACAGATAGTAAACGTTTTCCTTTTGTTGATCACAGACTAAACACTTTTGATCACAGATTTGTATGAACTGAGTTCTGTGCTGCAGTGTGTGATATCTGTAGTGTGGTTATACTGATGATGATGTTAGTGCTTATTGTTCACAGTCTCCAGAAAATGAAACTTTTGAATAATGATGTGTTCCCTGTGAGGGTTCCAGGGCCCTATTGTGGGGGGGGGGAGGGGGGGGGGGGGGGGGGGACAAGAAGAAGAAGAAGAGTGATTTTTTGTTTCTGGAACTCCTAAACTGGAAACTCTTTGAGGACTTAATCATAAAGAGGCAGGATGGTAGTATTTAAGGAACGTGATGGGAAGGCAGTAATTGTGGATTTTAATTGTTATAAAAGACTTTGTTTTCTTTTCCCCATGGTTATACTTTTAAATATTTCTTTTTTAACAGGGTTGTTTTGCTGTTTACTTGCGGGCAAAAATGTTGAAAATGGGGATCGTCACGGGTCAGAGACCCAAACCCCAGCGTAAAAAAAAAAAAAAAAAAAAGATAATTAATACAGTATAATGATAGTGATCTGTGGACCACTTGATTGGCCTCTATAGAGCAGGTTCAGCCAGTAGGTCACCAGTTGAATAGTGTTGCTTTATACTTATTTCTGTTTTTTTTTTTTTAATAACTATCGCTAAATCACAACTGTCTGTGAAAACTCAAAAAAAAATTAAAAAAAAAAACAAACCTTGTACATTTAGAATTATTCTGTATGGGGCATTTGAAGACACAAACATGGACAGCTTGGTTTGATACTGTTCATGGTTAAATCAGCATTAACATATTACATTTCTAACTTGACACATTCCCTTCCAAATATCATTCATAATGTTGACAGTGAAGATTGCCGGTTGATTTTAAAATATGTGTGAATTATTCAGAGATATGGGTGTTATGTTTCTGTTTAAGCCAACATGTAGGTCAGAACTAAGAGAACGGGCATTGTGTAGAAACATGTTATTGAAAGATTGTCTGCAGCCAATGTCGGCTTTCACTTGTTAGTACTTCTTAAAATTAAAATGATAGTTTTCGTTTGTATTTCTAATAAAAATAATTTTTTGAGTTGATTAAAAAAAAAATGTTTTAACTTTGGACACACAGAAAACTGTCAGTTGAACCTGGTTGAGATACTCTCAGACTTAATCTTTCATAAAAGATACATCTACCCAGCTATCCGAATATTTTTGGGGTTGCATCAAGCATGAGTAAGGTTCAGTTGATCTGACTGCAAAACTTTTTTTTTTTTAATGTGAAGCAAATAATGACCTTTTGTAATCAGCTGAAAAACATGTTCAGCTGCATTCTGCCATATTCTAATGAATTGTTACAATTATTGCATAACGACATCATCAGGTGTGTTTTTTACTATCTACTTGTTTAATAATCTGCATTGAATTGTTTGTTTTCATTTAACTATAATACCTCTCAAAATTGACTGTGTCTACAAAGAATTTAGTAAGAGTGTTTTGTTTCTTCGACTGTTATATTGTCTTTTAGAGTGTGGGACCAGTAAAGATATATATTCCACCATTCATTTAAAGTTTTAGAATTATGAAAAATTATGGCAACAAATTCACTTTACAAATTAATGTGCTTTATACCAGTGAATGTTCCTTTCAGATATTTTTGTGTGTTTAAAGATGATTTGTTACTCTGTTGTTTCTTTCTTAAAGAAATATTTTCTTGTTGATCTTTATTGATAATAGATTTGTGTAAGAGAGAGGCATATGCATGATCCATTGTTGGGTTTTCTGGTTTGTACCCTCATTTAATTTTTTTTTAATATATAGTTATTGTTCATAAAATGGATTGTTTGGGGACTGTATTTCAACAGCATGTTGTTGATATGTAAATTGTAGAATTCTGTGCCATCTCTGCAATGAAGGTTGGCTAATTGCACCACTCTTGTCTTTGGAAATGTCTCATGGTGATGCCTCAATCTCTTCCACAGCATTTTTGATGTAATCTGTTGTAATTTGTCCAAGATGTTAATTGAACTGTCTGCATCTTTAGTGGACATCAGTTAGTCCCAATGTTGAGCTTAACTCTCCGACCCTGAATTACAAATACTTAAAGAGTCCACACAGTATTTTCTGAATACTTAGCTTGTATTCACAAACAATGGTGCATTACATGTGTTTATGGTGTGTATTTTTTTTTTTTCATTTTATTTTATGTAATGCATTTTTTTAATTAAAAAAAAATTATATAAAAAAAGGAAGACATAGCCATGATGAACCAGGGTTCGGTTTTATGGGGGCAGTTTAGTAAAAGACTGTTATAGCCATGATGAACCAGGGTTCAGTTTCATGGGGACAGTTTAGTAAAAGACTTATCTTTCTTGAACAGTGATGTAACGGTCGTCCTATGGAAGAGATTTAGATCTCATTATTTAATATTCCCAAAGACAACCAGGGACAAAAATCAGCATATCTCCATTTGTGGTGCAAATGTTAGTTTTAAGTACAGTGTTCTAGTGAATAAAAAGTGAAAATAACTTGAAATTTTGATAATTCATTAGAAGAGATCATAGGATTTATAAAAATCAAACAACCAAAAATCCTAAGATAAAATCAGAAATTTTGTCTCAAGATAAAAAGTTGGCCTAGAACCAGTTCTAAATTCTAAATTACATAGGAGAGATAAAATCAGAAATGATGTCACAAGATAAAAAGTCAGCACTGAACCAGTTCTAAATTTCATACAAGGACACTAAATCAAATGGTTTGCCCACTTGGAAAGAGTGCCTTGTGATGCCATACTATACAAAGCATACACAAAAGGGATTAAAATGATGCAGAGCATTACGTAGACCACAAACAAGATAAAAAGATAACGTGGAAGAAATTCAACAGCACCATGTCTTAGGTCAAGGTGGATAGAAGCAGAATCTTGTGTCTCCTCGACACCCGAAGCAGTAAAAGAGGAAGTGAAGAAGGAGAAGAAGAAGAAGAAGAAAGGTTACAGTATAGAGATGGTTACGTGTTACGAAAGGTCAATGTATCCACTAAGAAGCTTTAGTATATTGATGAAAGTTCAGGGGAACATTTTTTTTTTTTTTAAATCTTGTCTCAGCACATTTCTTTTTCTTCTCCTAATTGTTGAATTGTTTACTCTGTTTACTGAGTCAGACTCCTAAAGTGTGCTAGCTGAAATATTTATTTAACTAGCCAAGAAATATGTGAAATATAAGATGTCTTGTTCTTTAGATTCTGTAATTTTGTTCTCAAAGAC